AACAACAAAGCAAATAAAAGAGGCTCTAGAAAAAAATCAATCAGAAATAATTCCACAGATAACTATAGAAATGGTGACCACAATGAAATGTATACTTAGGGACTCTAGAAAAGATACAGATTTTTTAAAAATAGAGGAGCTTAGAAAAATGATGGAAACTATGAATACCCAACACAAGAAAGCAATGGAATCCATGAATCAGATTCAAATAGATATCCAGGATATTAAACATTTCACTGAAAGTAGACACAGCACAATGAGCCAATGAGAACCTCAGATATAGAAGACAGGACTGCAGTCAGTGAACAGGAAAAGAAAGATTTCCTAAAAATTGCAAGTGACCATGAGAAATCAACCTACAAGCTGCTAGATGATGTAAAGAAGAATAACATAAGATTGATTGGAGTTTCCAGGTGTAGTGGTTCATGCCTGCAATCCCAGCACTTGGGGAGCTGAGGCAGGACGATCACTGTGAGTTTGAGGCCAGCCTGAGCTACAAATTGAGTTCAAGGCCAGCCTGAACTGCAGAGTAAAATCCTGCAGTTTCACTGAAACCCTGCAGAAAAGGACAAAAAGCCAAAAAAAAAAAAAAAAAAAAGTTTGATTGGAGTCCATGAAAACACAGGTGATAGGACAAATGACATAAAGCACCTGTTAACGACATCATGGCAAAAAACTTCCCTGGCAAGGAAAAAAGTCTGACATACAAATAAGTGAGGTATATAGAACTCCACTGAGCTGTGATCAAAAAAATCTACAGCAAGGCATATAATAGTCAAGAGTCCAGAAATTCAGTACAAAAATAGAACAAAAGCTCTTAGAGAAAAGAAACAAGTCACCTCTAAAGGAAAACCAATCAGAATCACAGCAGACTTCTCAATACAAATGCTCAAGTCAAAGAGAGCTTGGAGTGAAGTATTTCAAGGCCTAAAAGAGAACAACCCATATTTATTTACCCAGCAAAATTATCTTTCAAAATTGATGGAGATATAAGATACTTCTCTGACAAAGAGCACCTGAGGAAATTCATGAACAACAATTCAGCACTCCAGAATGTTCTGAGGGATATTCTAGAAAGAGATAACAAGAATTACAACTCCATGAACCCCAGTGGAATGAATCCACCAAACAAGGGAAACAATTAAACAGACGGGGAAAATAAGGAAACCAACAACAGGAAAATAACACGACAAGGACAAAGCAATACATATCAGTTGTAACCATCAATGTTGATGGGCTCAATTCTCCAATCAAAAGAAAGAGACTGACACAATGGGTCAAGAAGCAAGATCCAACAATATGCTGCACAGGAAAAACATATTTAACTGGAAAAGAAATTCATAGGCTGAAAATCAACGGATAAAAAAACAATACTCCAGGGGCTGGGGATTTAGCTCAGCGGCAAAGTGCCTGCCTGGCAAGCGCAAGGTCATGAGTTCGGTTCCTGGTACCGGAGAAAAAAAAAAGAAAACAATACTCCATGTCAAGAACCTAGATAAAAGCAGGGGTAGCTATTCTATTTGCAGACAAGGTGGATTTCAAACCAAGACTGATTAAGAGAGACAAAGGTCACTACATCCTTGTAAATGGAACAGTCCAAGAAGAAGAGATAAGGTTCATAAATATAGATGAACTAAATACCAGTGCACCCAACTATATAAAAAAAATTAACAGACATGAAAATCACATAAGCACTAGTACAACTGTAATGGGGGACCTCAATACCCCACTTTCACAAATAGACAGATCAACTAGACAAAAAAATTCAACAGTGAAATATTAGAACTGAACCAAACTTTTAAACAAATGAACATAGTAGATTTCTGTAGAGTGTTCCAGCTCACAACATCAGAATACACATTCTCCTCAGCTGCACATAGGACATTCTCCAAAATAGACCATATACTAGCTCATAGAACATGTTTAAATAAATGCAAAGCAATTGAAATTATATGATGCATACTAGCAGACCATAGTGCAATGAAATTGAAAATGAATAGCAAAAGAAACCACAAGAATTTCATACACACATGGAAATTAAATAACACCCTTCTGAACAATCACTAGGTCACAGAGGAAATTTAAGAAGAAATTAAACAGTTTCTACAAATAAATGATAATGCCAATACAATACACCGGAACTTGTGGGAAACAACGAGAGCAACCAATGAGGAAACTGTGTGTCAGTGAACACCCATATCAGGAAAACAGAGCAAGCTCAGATAAACAACTTAACGATGAACCTCAAGCTTCTAGAAAAAGAAGAGCAGGCCAAACCCAAAGTTCATATGAGGGAGGAAATTATAAAAATCAGAACAGAAATTAATGCAATTGAGACTAAGAAAACAATACAAAGAACCAATGAATCAGAGTTGGTTCTTTGCAAGATGAAATAAAAGACAAACTCTTAACCAACCTTATCAAAAAAAAAAAGGAAAGAAAACACTCAAATTCTTGTGACTAGGAATGAAAAGGGTGAAATCACAACAGATCCCACAAAAATCCAGATCATCTCTATCTCCTTTGAGAACCTGTATTCTAATAAGGTGGGAAATGTAAATGAAATGGACAGATTCCTAAATACATCTATTGATTTCTTTTGCTGTGCAAAATCTTTTTAATATGATTAGATGCCAGTTATTGGTTCTTTGTATTTTTCCTGTGTGATCAGGGTTTTGTTCATGAAATCTTTGCCTACACCTATGTCTTCAAGAGTTCTTCCTATTCTCTCTTCCAGTGGGTGTAGTGTTTCTGCTTTAATATTTGGACCTTTGTTTCATTTTGATTTTACTTTAATGCATAGTGATAGACCTAGATCTAGTTTTAGTCATTGGCATTGGAAAGCCAGTTTTTCCAGAACCATTTATTGAAGAAGTTATCTTTCTTCCAGTGAACATGTTTGGCCCCTTTGTCAAATATAACATGCCTGAGTGTATTTTGAGTTGTTTTTGCATCTTCTAATCTGTTTCATTGATCTGCAGGTCTGTTTTTTTTTTCCAGTCCTATGCTGTTTTTATCACAGTAGCTTTGTAGTATAATTTAAAGTCAGGGACTGTGATGCCCCTTGCATTGTCTTTGTTATCAAGAATTGTTTTTGCTGTTCTAGGTCTCTTCTGGTTCCCAATAAATTTTAGGAATGTTTTCTCTAGTTCTATGAGGTAAGCAAGTGGTATCTTAATTGGGATTGGATGTGTGCTATGTGTGTGTGTGTGTGTATGTGTGTGTGTGTTTTATTAGGAACTGAATCCAGGGCCTTCACAATGAACTATAACTCCAGCCCATGTAAAAATATTTTTGTTACATTGACATAGTGTCTTATGAATTCACTGTTTCCCTGCTGGACTCAAATATTCCATCCTCCTGCATCAGCCTCCCAGAATGCTGATATTACAGGAGTGCAACACTATGCCTAGCTTCTAACCCTTTTTTTTTTAGGCAGCATCTCGCTGACTTTCCCAAACTGGCCACTAAATTGTAATTCTCTTCTCTCAACTTTCCAAGTGGCTGGGATTATAGGCATACACTCATCTATGTTATATGAATGTTATCATAATTTTTAAAAAACAACAACTGCAGTGGCTACTTCCTGACCCAAGATAGCAGCCCCCTTTCCACAGCTTTACAAGAAGAGAAACACTGCATGCTTGCTGGGTCTCTCATTATCAGTTAGGAATTTGTGGATTCCAAGTCATATTTAGGGATTCGGCACTAAGTAAGGAACATTGCAAAGAGGTCAAACGTGCAACGAGGAGAAGAGGAGGCCCGAGGGAGAGTGTCGGCCCTGGGGACCAGCAGGACTTCACCCGCTCCATCGCTTGGAGGAACTGTGACCTTGCTTTCCCTTAGACTGGAATACTGCGGAAATCCTTGCTGCCAGCCGCAGATTGCTTTCCCTGCTGATTTCCTGTCTGCAAAGATTTGAGATGCAGCCAGTAAGGCTACAGTGGGCCTTCGCATAAGCTCTCTGCCTCCTGGAGCCGGGCTCCTGCCTCCCTTGATTTCCTGTTCCATGGATTTCACCCCGAAACGCCCCAGATGGCCCCAACTCACTACCAGGTTCCCGGAGGCCACTCTGGGGCCTCTGGATGAGGCTGAGAGCTGACTCCTGCCAGCAGAAGACCCCGCCCTCAGCTGCTGTGGACAGGACTTGTCCCCTCTGAGATGAGGACAGTGATGTGGATTTTCTGGAGGCTGGGGATGGACCAAGACCACCGGGTGGCACCTGGCCAAGTGCCTGTTGCTGCTATGGATGACCAATAGCCTCTCCTTTGTCCACCCTGGTCTCTGGAGCAAGGATAGTGGACTGTTAGAGATGGGGTTTTATTTCACAAGAGCTCAGAAGAGTAGGCAGCCCTGGGGGTCAAACCTTGTGGACAAAGTGCAACCAGACACAGGTATTAGAACCAAAGCCGATGGCATCTGACATGCCTGGGAGTCATTTGCAGGGGATGCGGAGGCAGCTTCAGTCATCCAAGGGGGGCACAGGAGTAGCCTTATCAGCCACTGTGGGCAGCTCCTGGTAGGTCACAGTCCAGAACTGGAAATACTTGGTCCTCAGGTGCTGCTTCATGGAGCTGCTGTCCATCTTCTTGGTGATCTCCAGGTAGTTGCCGTCCTCCATGGTGTAGGGGTACCAGTGCGTGGGCACCTTGGAGTGGCCCGTGTTGGGGTCCCTGCAGAGTGAGAACTGGCTGGGTGGCGGCCGAGGGCCCTAGGAGCCTGGAGACTCCCCGCCAGCTCTCTGCACGGCCCTCTGAGGGCTCAGGGGCCTCTGAGCCGACCTGGTCATAACCCAGCCCTGGCTGAGCAGCTCATGGTCTTGGGGCCCGGTCTGCAGCTCTGACCCTCACGTACGGATGGGGAGGCTAAAGCCGGGGAGGTTAAGCAACACACCCAAAGCCTCCCCAGTGGTAAGTGAGGGAACAGGGACTAGAACCCAGGTCACAGTGGTGGGGTCCTCGAAGCTGCTGCTCTTGTCCCAGGTTGAGTCCATGACTTACCCACTTCTGGCAAAGTTGGTCCAGTAGGCGATCATGGCCTTGGACACAGTTCTGTCATGGGGCCAGTAGAACAGTGGGGTGGCGAAGGGCTTTCCGAAGACATAGGCAATTTCTTCTGCGTGATCAGCACCCAGCCATTTGGGTGAGAAGGGTACCCGAGAAGGCACAGAAAAGAGGTAGGAGTAGGTCCTGGCAGTCCTGAGGGGAGGAGACACAGGGGCTGACTCACCTGCGGCTGCCAGCCACAGATGGGCCTGGAGGGAGCTGGGGGGCAGGGAAAGGCCTGGGGGTCCCACCGAGACTCACAGTGAAATGGGTGTCCTTACACCTCACGGGGGGATAGTAGGCGCCCAAGCTCCGGGTTGTATAATTTCCATTGTTCTCCCACCTCACCAATCCCAAATGTGTGTCCCACTTTTGTCCCTGTGCTGCCAAAGCGAGCACGGCACAGCACCTGGAGGCACCTTCCTCCCGTGATTCGGTATCAGCCACGGCTTCTATGCTCTCCATGTGCACTTGCACTTTCCATTTGACTGCACAGGGCATGTGCCACCATCTGCCTCACGTTCTGCCATGACTGGGGGAAGTTCAGACCTCAGACTATTGCTTCGTTGGGCATGGCAGGAAGTGCAGCATCCTAGACCCCCGCCCCCAGGAAGCCACCCTCTTCCCAGACCCTCACCTGGCGTTGGCTCTGTGCTGGGCCAGGGCTGCCTCCGTGGGCATCAGGAAGATAATATCAGTCTCCAGGTCCACCACTGTCTTCTTCTTGGTCTCCTGAGATGGGTCCTGAGCCCAAGACTCGGTGTAGATGTCAAAGACGGCCCTGGCACCATCCAGCCCCTTGGTCGTGGTGAACCCACTGACCAGCCAGTGGAAGTCCTCCCTGCAGGGACCAAGCAGTTACCAGACTCTGCCCCTAGTGCCACCAGGAGGCCGTCTGCGTGTCCGCCCCCGACACAGTGCCACCTGCCTCAATCTGCCCCTCTACTGATGTGTTCTGCCTTTGGGGCAGATTCCCCAGGCCACTTCTTCCCAGCTGTCCCCAAGCACTCTGCCCTTGAGTCCTGGCCCACTGCTTACTCCGTGACGTTCTTCTTGGACGCCTGAATGCTTGGCAGGTCAATAGCAGCAAGAAAGTAGCCATCCATGCTGTTGGTGCCTGCTAGGTAGTCGATGTCAGCAGCATTGGCAAACAGGTTGAGCGGGTCATCGGGGATGAAGTCTCCATCGATGACAGGCCCAATGCCCAGATCGTATATCACAGGGTCTGGGAGGAGGAAGCAGGTTCATGTATCTCCAGCACATCCGGCCCGCCCTTTGTATCCAGAGTTCACCCAGAGTCCTTCTCTGGTCTACACCATGGTTTTTCAATCCTGGCTGGAGGAGGCAGGACTGGAGAACCCTACACTGGGCGGGGCTGTCCTCCAGTGTGGGCTGTTGGGTTACACTGCTTACTACAACCCACCAGATGCCAGTGGTGCCCCTTCTCCCCTGGTGACGATCATAAATGTGTGCGGACATTGCCACATGGCCCCACCTGGAGGGCGCACTGTGGTAGGGCCCAGGTCTGTCCCTTTGCTTCAGCATCAGTCCCATGCTGCCCTCCCTCTCTTCTTGCTGGATTTAAATCAAGAGCTGGGAAGACCTGGCAGCATGGAGTGGCTGATGGGGAAAAGGACAGCCCTCTCTCGGGGCAGGGTCTCCTCTGGGAGCCAGCCACAGTGCAAGATCGGTGCTATGCTGTGTACTCTTGGCTGGCACCAGCACACAAAGTAGCTGAGTCGGGCAGCGGTGGCCCCAGGTTTGCGCAGGTCCCATGCTGCTTTTCTGCAGCAGACTCCAAACAACATTGGTTGTTGGGGCCAGGAGCGCAGCACAAGGGCAGAACGCTCAGCATGCACCGGCTGAGCTTGATCCCCAGCACCATGAAGAGACAAATGCAGGTGTGGAGAGGCTGCACTGGGCCATAGCATTTGCTTGGCTTTGTCATGGGGAGACTTGGAGGTTCGTGCCCATTGGGTAAAGATGCAAATAATGGGGCTTGATGGACTCTGGCTGAGGAGAGAACAGAAGGAAGCTGCACGGCCCGGCTGGGGAGCTGGCAGTGCGTGTGTGGACGCCAGGGGCTGAGCACTCCCCTGTACCGTAAACTCAGCACCAGTAAGGAACTGAAAAAACAAAGTTTACAAATAAAGAGACTGCCTTGGAGAGGAGGGAAAAGAAGATGATGGCTACCCTGACAAGAATCAGGGTGGGGGGCTCTGGGAAGATGAAGGGCCTGTGCGCCTTTGTTCCCCCACTGCTTTTATTAGGGGTCAGGGGCCCCTCCCCCTACCCGGAACTTCCCACAGCCTGACTGTTCCCTGGGCTGTCTTTGGATGAGACCAGGGCCCCTTGCCTGCGTCATTTCTGTCTGGTGATCTATGTGTAACTTCTTTGTGTCTGTTTATTTGTCCTTGACAGGGTCTTATCTCCAGGGTAGGCAGCTGCTTAACTAAAGGTTGCCTTATTCATGGTTAGCTTAGAGTAGAGAAGGCAGTGTGTGGGTGTCTATTGTAATATAATGAGCTAGAGTGGACAATATAGCATCCCCAGAGTGACTGTGTGTGTGTGTGTGTGTGTGTGTCCGTGCGTGGGTGCAGAAGAGCTTTCTCCACGCTTACTCCCGCCCCCACCCCCAGCCCCCCACTGCTCCCCTGCGTTCTGTCGAGGTGGGAGGAACAGCTGTCTTGGCGTGGTGTCCTCTGCTTTCCTTGCACTCTGCCTGGCAGCTCTTTCTCTCTCTGGTCTTTTGACACTAGTCCCAAGGCTATTGGTGCCGGTTTTTATCTGGTTATTTCCTTTCTCTACCCCTGTCCTTGAAAGAGGTCCCAGGAGAATTTTTCTAGTAAAGGTTTGACTCCTTCTGTTCAGGGTTAGCTAGAAAACGAGTGAGGCCCTTATTTCATTCTTTACTCTACAATCAGACCCCTGCTGCTAGGTCCTGCAGGAAAGGCCCAACGTTACCCCACATGGCGAGCAAATATTTGCTGGATGAATGAGGGAGAGAAGAAGGAAAGATTGAGTCACACGCAGCCACTGGCTCTGGGGTCTGGGATTCCCCCTACAAGTGGGAGCAGCGCTGCAAACCTGGGCACTGTTGGGGGCCTGGAAGGACCAGGAGTTCATCGTTTCTCTAAGGAGTCGCTCAGGATTCAAGGAGGATAGGAGGAGAGGCAAAGCCCCCTCCTCCACCACCATGCCTCTCCCAAGCACTGGAGACCCCACATTCCCCTCTTCTGCAGGTGCTTGGCCTCAAAGAGCCGGGGTTTGCCTGCACGTGAAACCCTCACAGCCTCCACCTGAAACCCCCCACTCACAGTCCTGTTTTTCCCAGGGCATTATGTAGGCCAAGGTCAGGGCCCGGGGGTCCGTAACCTTCAGACACCCGGCCATCCTGGCAGTGTCGTCCTCGGGGCAGCCCACCTTCTTGGCGACCTGGGGAAGGGCAAAGGCAGCTGGTCAGGTGAGGCCAATGAGTGCGGACAGGACTAGGGACAGAGGACAGGAACGAGCAAGGGCCCCCCTGCCCACCGGGGTGTCCATCAGAGACCCTGCCCTGCCCACCCCTGTCCTCCTGGGCTTACCTTTTGGGCCCAGAAGAGGGGGTTGTGCTGGATGGCCCAGAGGCTCAGTGCCACACCGCTCTGGCTGATGGCCCTCCGGATGAGGCCTTTGTTGTAGGGAGACAGGGTCTGCGACAGCCAGGAGCCTGTCACCCACTGGTTCCCAGGCTGAGCACACCCAGCCCGCCCCTGAGCTTGCTCTCCCGCTCCCACCTTCCCCTGCTCCTTCCCAGACCTTGGGGTCAGGGTCTCTCCTCTGGGGAACCTCAGACCTGCAGAGAGACACTGGCACCTCCTGCTGACTCCCCAAAGATGGTGATGTTGTTGGGGTCCCCCCCAAAGGCTGCAATGTTCCTCTTCACCCAGGCGATGGCCATGTGCTGATCCCGAAGGCCATAGTTACCTGAGGGCAGAGCAGAGGGGAGTTGTCACCCAGCCCCTGGAGGGGCTGCAGGGGGATGGGCACGGTGACCCGGGGTGTGCACACCGTGGGTGCCAATGACACTGGCTGTCCCAGCCCCAGAGCGCCCCGCGGACCTGGCAGGTTGGCGTCTCCAGTGCTGAGGAAGCCCAGGGGGCCGACGCGGTAGTTGAAGGTGACCACAATGACGTTGCCACGGGTGGCGATCTCCTCCCCGTCGTACAAGTAGTTGTTGAGGGAGTCAACCTCATTGCTGGACCCCGAGTAGAAGCTACCACCATAGATCCAGACCATCACAGGCAGGTCCTGGGAGACTTAGATCAGGAGCAGGATGGTGACTGCAGATGCCGACCTAGTGTCTCCCTGTCCAGTTCCCCCTGCAGAGGATCAATGGTGGAAGCCCCCTGCCCACCTCTGCAGCCCCCTCCACTACCCAGTGCAGGGCCACGGCTCTGGCCTGGAGGTTCCCCCTGGCTGTGGGACCGGACCTTGCTTTCTGCCCTGGGGGACCCAGATGTTGAGGTAGAGGCAGTCTTTGTCCCCATTAGTGCTGTCCAGGGTGAGAGTGGCCTGCAGGCATGCCTCCTTGAAGTCCTTGGCCTTCAGGGTCCCTGTGGGAGGCAGGAGCGGATGGCATGCGTCACAAGCTGCCCTCACCACCCGCCCACGGGCACCCAGCAGCCCTGTCCTCACCTTGCCAGCCAGGGTGACGCTGTGGGTTCTCCAGGGTCTTGGCGGTGGCAAAGGGGATGCCCTTGAAGATGTCCACGGAATCACCACCCAAGAGGCTGAGCTTCTTGTTCACACCTTCCACGAATCCTCCTTCCGTGTACACGACGCCCAGCTGCGGGTGAGACACGGCTGTGTTAGGGGGCCACGGCCCGGGCAGCCTGAATCCTGACTGGTGACCAGGGTTCTCCCAGAGACAGCTTCAGAGGAGGAGACAAGGTGGGTCTGGCCACTTGTCCAGGGTGGTGGGGGCTCACTTCCTGTCCCCTAACCCCATGCCTGCTTCCTGGTCCCTACATCCCAGCCTGGTGTCTTGCTTCCTGGATCCAGAGGAAGCTGGACCAACCCGTGATCCCACTCAGCAAGGTGGAGACCGGGGTTCCTCCTGTGCCTAGGGACCACATGCGTGTCCCGGGGGGGTCTGGGCCCATGCCCCCACTGGCTATTGGGACCTGTGCTGGAGCTGAGATGAATGACAGGAGCCAGGCAGGGCCTGAGCAGGTCGCTGCCCAGGGCCGGGAAGGGCTCGCTGCCAGGGTCTTGCTCAGCCCCCTCCCTCTGCCTGGGACTCACTGTCCTCCCTCCTCCAGGCCCTGTCCCACACTTCCCAGATCGCTTTCAACAGCAAAAGGGAACCTGGCCACAGCCCCGGGCCCTCTGCAGGGCTCCCCTTACCTTGGCGGCACTGGCCACCGCCAAGCAGCAGGCCAGGCCCACGACGGCCAGCTCCACGTGCCCCATCCTCAGTGTCTGCCTCTGCTGGCCTTCTCTGTGGGCCTCGGGTATTTATGGAGCTGGGGCCAAGGTC